CTGCCTTTGGCTCAGGTCATGATCCCAGGGTCCTGGGATCGAGCCCTGCATTGGGCTCCCTGCTCCACGGGAAGCCTGCTTCCCCCTCTCCCACTCCCCCTGCTTGTGTTCCCTCTCTCGCTGTGTCTCTCTCTGCCAAAAAATAAATAAAATCTTAAAAAAAGAAAGAAAGACTCTGTTGAAGAAGTGTGAAAGTACTCACCGCTATGTTTTAATCCACCATGCCTGGTTTCTCTTTCAAATTCTTCCTGCTGGTATTTTGCCTCCAAACCTTTGTATGGCAGTTGGTTTATCTATCACATAAGAGGCATAACTCATAAACAAACATTACAAATGATTGCATTTGCTGTTAGTTAAAAATGTGCATAGGTAAGGATAGAAGCGAAGACTTAATGGAAGTGGCAGAACTGAAGGAAAAATAATAAATTCTAATGTAGGCAGGTATTGATAGGCACCTGATAGAAACTTTTTTAAAGTACTTCAGCTACTGTGTCCTTCTCTGATTCGATAATCCCACTCAAGATAATTAATCCAAGAAAATCATTCAAAAAGAGAAAAAAAACTACATGTACAAACATATTTATAGATGGGTTATTCACAACCTTGAGACACTAGAATCGATGTGAACTTAGGAGAAATATTTAAGTAAACTGTATCAATATACAGTTATACTGTGTAGCTATTAAACTAATAAATGCCATGCTTCTGTAGAAGCATAAGGGTGTTTTTTTAAAGATTATTTATTTATTTGAGAGAAGAGAGAGGGAGCAAGCTGGGGTGGGGGGGGAGGGGCAGAGGGACAGGGAGAGGATCCCAAGCAGACTCCCCACTGAGAACTCAGGGCTCCATCCCAGGACCCTGAGACCATGACCTGAGCTGAAATCAAGAGTCGGATGCTCAACTGACTGAGCCACCCAGGCACACCAGGGGCATTTTTTATAATGAAAAGTGAATAAAACTAAAAATAAAATTGTAATTGATATGACTATAATATATACTTAGATTATGCTTATGCAAATAGAAATAGACAAAGAATAAGAGGAAATAAAAATGGATTTTCTTGAAGCAATACCTTTTGAATTTGTTTTATTTTATATTGTTTTAAAGCACATTCAATAATAAATATTTTAAAATTTAGTGACCATCCCAGATGGTACCTCAAAAATTCAAAAACATGCATTAAATGCCTTTGGCCTTGAAAACATGTAAAAATATATTTATAGACATATACAGTAACAAACATCTTTACATAAGTAAAACACGTAATTTATACTTTTATCTCGGTACATCACATGACATAGCACAAGGTGATGTCATGGGAAAAGACTCTCCTGGGAGTTGGCAGACCAGAGCCCTGGTCTAGGCTCCACACATTCACAGGAGACCAGGCAGAGGATGTAGTAACACTCTAATCCTCAGGTTCCCAACTAGTAGAACATGAAGGGGAGAAAGAGCAGCCCAAGGGTCCCTCATGGGTTTTTTTTAATTATTTGATTCTAGGATTCTAAAAGTAATAGCTTTTTATCTGTTGCCTAGTCAGGGAGAGCTTGAAAAATAAGAAAATGCTCAGAATGTAGTGTGTTTTATTGGCTTTAGCCAATAAAGATAAATGCATGGCCAGGAAACAAACAAAGACACTTAATTCAACAGATACTGATTTGGTACCTATTATTCTAGGTATTATGACCAACATATAAAATGTCTGCCCTCATGGAGCTTATATTTTAAAGACAAGGGTGGACATAAGCAATAAACAAAATAAATAAAATATTTGATTGGTTACATGGTAGTAAATGCTATGGAGAAACATAAATCGGGGTGAGCAGGTCAGGATAAGTCTGGAGGGGATTCTGGCAATTTCAAATAGCATATTCAGGGAAGGACCCTGTGAAAAGATATAAGTGAGCAAAGAAGGAGATGAGGAAGCAGCTCTGAGGACACGAGTAGGCATTCCCACTGGGTTGGGAAACCACTGGGGGATTTCAACAGAGGGATGACGTGATGGACTTCCGAGCTAACAGGCTCACTCTGGGCAGAGTGCAGGAGGACAAAGTGGATGCAGGAAGAATGGTTTGGAAGCTACAGGATAGGTGGTGAGAGGTGGTTGCATTTGGATGCATCATGAAGGAAGAGGTTGCAGGGTTTGCTAAAGAACTGGATTTGTGGTAACGAAGAGAAAAAGAGGAGTGAAAGCTAACTTCAAATTTTGGGCATGAGATGGTAGACTGGAGAGAGGGCAGGGTGGGTGTCATGGAAGAGGACCAGGAGTCTGGCTTGGGTGAGTTCCAATGCCTACCGGATATCGAGTGACCATCTAGGTCAAGCAGTTGGATAGACAAGTCTGGAGCTAGAGGTGAGGTTCTAGGCTAGAGTTATAAATTTGGGAATTAATTATCAGTATTTAGAAGATTTAAATGATACTAAAGCCATGAGACTGGCTGGATCACTAAAAGAAACTGTGTCAATAGAGTAGAAAAGAGGTCGAAGGACTAAGGAGGAATTCAATGCTAAGAGTTTGAGAATTGAGCAGGTTCCAGCCAAGGAGATGAGATGGATCAGTTGGAGAAAAACCAGAAGAATGTAGTAGAAGCCAAGTGCAGAACGCATTTCCAAAAGGAGACATCATTTCTGGACTATCAGTTGTTAGTCGTTGAATCTACACTTGCAGATTTTCTATGGCAAGTGAGGATGTCATATGTATACACCAACTCCACTGAAGGATGTTAATAATCACACCTAGTGACGAGAACATATTTGCATATATGTATGTTGTATCATAATATTCCAAATAGACACCATTTTTGAGACATCGATTATTTCTGATTTTCCACACCTTTCCCTGCCTGCATCATCACAAATGATTGTTTCTAATTGTTCTTATGATTGTTTTCTCATCTCATGGAAATGTAATCAAAATCAACATGATTACAAATGAAAATAATCTAATTCTCAGTCATGTGGGTTTGCTACACTACACACTAAACATTACTTCTGTTTATTTAAAATGTTGAATTTACATTAAATTATAAATATGTAATATTCTGGGAACTCATGGCACATTATAAAATGAAGCTGCTCTCTGAATGTATTCATCATAAGAGCATGTTGACCATATTTTCTTACTCAAACTGCCTTCTATCGCCAATCCTGCCTAAGAAATCTGGCTTTCTTACTCCCTTAGGAGATAAAGCATTTTATTTAAATCACCTTTCCTGATAGTTGCTCTAAGGGAAAAGAGAAAAGAAATAGATATAACTCACTGACAGCCTCAGGATATAGACATCCTGTCTCCATTCCTTTTAGCTTTTATTGGACATCAGGCTGCCAGTCTAATAAGGCAACAAAGAAAAGTAAACAGAAATAAAAAGCAAAATAAATAGCAGTCCTTATCCCACTGGAAATAACCATAAATTTAAAAATGCAACCTTGGCTATATTGTGAAAGGATTTTCTTGGTCTGTTTGCATAGCTGTATTTTATTCTCTTCTGAACTAATCCAGACTTTTTTTTAAAGATTTGTATCATACACCAATCTTATTTACCCTAAAAATCTTTTGCAAAAGACATTTCTCCAGTAAATCGTGCTATATCTATGCCATGTGGCATCATCGTGCATACCCAAAGTATAGGTTCTAATCTACGGTGAAGAACTAGGTAACATAATTCCTATGACTTGTGTTTTCATAGATGTACTGAAATGGAACACTAAATATAAGGGATAGAGGTAGCTTGCCTTGGCTTCACTGACAAATCTTTGACGTTAAGTCACGTATCCTACAAACCCATGTGCACCTGTCCCCAATGCCTTGGTCTGTTTTACAGTCTTCTTCTGGCATTATCTAATGAAAGCTATAAAAAGAGAATGTTTCCTTTCCATTACAACAGCAAAAAACATTTCAAGAATGAAGCCACAAAAATACCATACTACGTCACAGGTCCCATCTTAATAGTAGGTCTAAAAGTCGTTAGCATCAGACCATCACATTAGGTCAAAGCAGAGTTTCTGAGACCAAACTTTCTCTAGACTTAACATCAAAATGTGCTTATTATTACAAAAATATTGAAGCAAAAAATAAGGTAAACAACTTCTTAATGCCAGTTTGTTTTTTGATTGACATCATTGTTCTGTTACATTTATGTTCTATATTTTGGTATGAACCATTCTTTTCTATTAGATTGTAAACTCTAAAGATTAGGGACAAAGGTATCTTTAACTCCATTTTATCTATTCTAGCACGGGACCATAATGGGAGAGATACAGTCATTCTTTGACATTTACCAAAAATGTTTACTTTTTAATGCTGTCACATGGCACAAGGCCACAGTACAAGATGTACAGTGAGAGTAGAGGAAAGGAGAAGATGATGGACTATTTATGGCTACTATTCACTTAAGGCTATCTAGATCTACCTCATAGATAATGTTTCAAGTTTCTTTTTTTTTTTAATTTAAATTCTAGTTAGTTAACATACAGTGTAATGTTGGTTTCTGGAGTAGAATTCAGGGGTTCATCACTTACATACAACACCCAGTGCTCATCATAACAAGTGCTATTCTTAATACCCATCACCCAGCTAGCCCATCCCCCACCCACCTCCCTCAAGTTTCTTTTTTAGTATATAAAAAGAAATAAGATATGACCTGAATGAGTACCAGCAGCTTTCACTACTCCTTCCATCATCCAATTCTTCCCCCCATGTAAAAAAACACAGGCAAATCTATCTGATGCTGCCACATTATAACCTGTCACAAGATTTTGCTGAACCCCAAATGAAGATCTCAGACTTAGGCCTGCTGGGCAGCTGATTCCCAAAGGGGTGGAACTCGTCATGATGCCACTTATTTTTCACATCAGGGCTCACGGAAAGTTCGTAAAAAGCCAATGATTCGTCATTGGCCAAGGGGAAGATCTTTCCAGCATTTCTAATTTCTTTAATTGAAATAAATTTTAAATTTCCTAACAACTACTTTCCTTCACCACCACCCCCCTTTTTTTTTCAGGTACAGAGCAGTTGCCTCCTGGAGTCGAGTCCAGGGAATTGGGATTCCCTTGATCACTGCCATTGAGATAGTCTCCATCTGGATCCTTTCTTTTATCCTGGCCATCCCTGAAGCTATTGGCTTCGTCATGGTGCCCTTTGAGTACAAGGGTGAACAGCACAAAACCTGTATGCTCAATGCCACGTCAAAATTCATGGAGGTATGGAGAGTATAAAGGAAATTAACTGGGGGGAAGGGGAGGTCTTCATTTATACTTTACCATCACCAAGACTTGATGGTAGTCTCTACAATGTAGTCTCTACAATGCCCAGCGTGGTTTACTCCGTCAGTTCACTCATATACTTTTCAGTTGCATGAAAAGTACATGTTACAGGAGGGTTTCGCTTCTTGAACAGAATAACTATTTTGTTTTCACTCTTATAGCACAATTGTAGACACGACTGTTGTTCTGCACCAAACAACTCAGAATCTGAAACAAACTTACTCAGTGTTCAATTCAGTAGCACATATACTGAAGCAAACTGAGAAAAAAAGACAGATGTGCTATTTGTTTTTATAATAAGTAATACAGCACAACAATTTCCATCTGACAGGCATGCTGATAGGTATTTTATGTTACTTGGGCAAATGCACATTGCTCACATTTTTTAAAAGATAGATTTATTAACTTAAAGTAGGAAGCCATACTTGCCTGTACTTATATTTGTACAAATTCTGCATGTAAAATACAAATAATATAAATTTGCAGAACTTCTTAAAAAGTGTTTTAGTTTGGGGCGCCTGGGTGGCTCAACTGGTTAAGCGACTGTCTTCGACTCAGGTCAGCTCAGGTCATGATCCTGGAGTCCTGGGATGGAGTCCCATATTGGGCTCCCTGCTCAGCAGGGAGTCTGCTTCTCCCTCTGACTCTACCCCCTCTCATGTGCTCTCTCTCTCTCTCATTCTCTCTCTCTCTCAAATAAATAAATAAATAAAATCTTTAAAAAAAAAAAAGTGTTTTAGTTTAACAAATTTCCTTGTCGTTTAATACACCTGACCACATTGATGTTTCTCTGAAAAGTTTAATTATGTAACTGAATGTATTGGAAAACATGTTTAAAATGCACATTTCCTTTGCCAAACTAGTCAAATGTGGACTGAGGAGGAAAACCAAAAGGATAACTATTTCTCTTAAATCGGCATAATTTAGTGCTTTGATGTAGGTTTCATGCAGCTCAGATTCCACATTTAATCATTTACAGACACCTCCAGGTATGTTTTCCTAACATGGAAAATTCACAAAATTAGTGGTTTTACAGTTGACCAGTTCTCCTCTTTGGAAATTCGTATTTTAAATTTAAAAGTATTCTTGAACTAGAGGGTATTATGCTAAGCGAAATAAGTCAATCAGAGAAAGACATGTATCATATGATCTCACTGATACGAGGAATACTTAATCTTAGGAAACAAACTGAGGGTTGCTGCAGTGGTGGGGGGTGGGAGGGATGGGGTGGCTGGGTGATAGACATCGGGGAGGGTATGTGCTATGGTGAGCGCTGTGAATTGTGTAAGACTGAACAATCACAGACCTGTACCTCTGAAACAAATAATACATTATATGTTAAAAAAAAGAAGATAGTAGGAAGGGAAAAATGAAGGGGGTGAAATTGGAGGGGGAGATGAACCATGAGAGACTATGGACTCTGAGAAACAAACTGAGGGTTCTAGAGGGGAAGGGTGGAGGGATGGGTTAG